TTATGTGTCCATCATTATAAGAGTAGGTAAAGAAAACGTAATATAAATGCACTATGGATTACTATTGGACATGAAAAATTATAAAAATCTATAGTTAACAACCATTTCTTAATTACTTTTCTCTCATTTATGAGACAAAAGACTTGACACCCAAAATTAAGGAAGGAAATTTTTATTTAGCTCCCAATTTGTGTGGAGGTTTTAGTCTGTAATTAGCTGGCTCTGAGGCAGGGTAACATGGCAAAGAGGCAACAGTTCAAGGGAGCAGAACAAATTAAATGTAGCAAGAAGAGAACTAGAAGGAAACAAGTCTCTTTTCTTCCCTTATAATGTAAATATGCTAATCATCTACACCATCTCAATATCCTCTTCTTGCACAGGCTCAGGACATTTACAAAATAAGGACCTTTGTCTCCTGTTGAACCAAATAGTTAAACCTCTAAACTTCCCAGTTGACACAATATCTAATATCCAATCCACCCCTTATTTATTTATTTATTTATTTATTTATTTTTTAGGGAGTACCAGGTGTCAAAGTCATAAGTTCACACTTGCTAGCCAGGTACTTACACTGCTGAGCTAAATCCATGGCTCCCAAATTACCCCTTGTCACCTTGACAACCAGACCCATTTCTTTAAACTGATCTCTAGATACAAAGACATGGTTATTCTTATCATTTTACAACCTGAACATTATAACATGTTTAACAATCCCTACGAGCCAGTATATGTCTATCAATATCATGTTACATTAGAACCATAACATTTTGTTCCTGTGCCCCTCAAACTCATGTACATTCTTTTATGCAAAAAGCATTTAGTCCATCTGTAAGAGTTACCAAAGTCCTAATTGTTTCAGCATTACTGACAAGTCCAAGTTCCAAGACTCCTCTGAGATATAAGGCAAACTCTAAACTGAAAGCCCCTGGATAAATGAAAAATTAAATACTTCCAACATGAAATAGCTCAAGATAAATACTTTCATCCTAAAAGTTATAAACAGGGGATGCAAAGTAATGGGACTGAAGCAAGTCCAAAATCCAACAGGGAAAATATTAAGTTCCATGTCCACCATCTGAAGCAATCTGTGACAAATCATGAGCTCTAAAGGGGTTGAATAACCCCACCCCTATGATACTTCTGGTGTTTACAGTTTCCATGACTTCTCACTTAGGGCCTGTTTTTCTCTTTCCTTGTTGTTTTCATTAGATGATCTTCTGGAGTCTCCACTATATCTTTGGTTTCATTCTCACAGCTTTACACACTGCCCTTTCAGGGGCCCAATGCTTGGCTTCACAGGCTTTCTCAAATCAATGGGAAAGTCTTTTTAACCCCATAATTCTTGCATTCTGCATGCACCTAAAACCAGCACCATGTAGATGATTCCACAGTCTTCTGCCAACTGGAACAGTAGCCAGGCTTTCTTTTCTTTTGGTTGTGAGGGTCAAGTGCCTCGATTGATGATCATTCTGAATCCAATTCTTAGTAGCAAATTTTCTATATTGCCACCATTGTGGTACATGATAATCTATGACTTACTTCTCAAGGCAAAGTCACTTTTGCAGTACTGAGGCTGCAAATTATGGAGACTTGCTGCTTCTTTAAATTTATATTATTTTATTTTAAAAAGAATAAAACCAATCAAAACAAAGTAGTATAAATAATATAAGACTTCAAAACATTACAAAATCAGCAATAGTTACTATAATGTCCTATGTTGTCTTCAAAATAACTGTAGATACCTTTGGACATAATAAAAGTCAAAAAGAAGAGAATGGAAATGAAAGAATAAAAATAAAAAACTAATGCAATAAAGGACTCCCAAACAAGCCAACAGTAAATCTAAAATGGCTATCATCATATATCTCTGAAATAGCTATTCCTGCTGTCAGATTTAACATAATTAAACAAAAAGAGGATAAAACACAGCCCAACAAAAGAATGAAAACAACATAGCACTTCAAAACAGGACAATAGGGAATAAAAAATGGCTACAACCTTTAGAAAGAGAATCTACATATGGCCATCCTCTGAACTTATGATCAGACCACTGGCCCTAGACTTGCAAATTCAATGAAACACCAAAGCACCACAGGCATCCAATTGCATTTTCCCTTGATAGCTATCCTCAGAGCCTTTGTTTCTCCAGATCAGCCAGTCACTTACGGGGTGCGGGGTACTTCTAGTTTGCCAGCCCATGTGCTGGAAGGGGCTTGTGTCTGGCTGTCCCTAGTCAGTCACACTTGGTGCTGATTTCCATATGGGGCTTGCTTCCTGGTGTGGCCTTGTTATCTCCTCACAGTCTTCAAATGGTGCTGACTCATGGGAAAGGCTTGGGTCTGGTTGTTCCCAGTCCTGTGGCAGCCTGTGCATGGTGCTGGTTCCTATACAGGGCTTATTTTCTCTCCCCACAGTACACGAATGGCACTTACTTATGGGAAAAAGCTTGCATCTGGCTGTTCCCAGTCAGCTGGCCATCTGTGTATGGTGACTTGCTGCTTCTTGTGATGCCTACAGGCCATATTTTCCATTCTCATATTCCTTCTAACTATGGAGATTGCCACAGCTCTTATTTTTAATCCACAGCTTTGCTGGAACTTCATTTCTTATCACATTCACATTTTTAAATTATCCTGCTGGGCTATTTGCTCTTGACTCTCAATGTAGATCTGGCTAAAAGCCTCCAACAATAGCCATGCCATTACCTTAACATTTGACTACTTTGACATTTTTTCTGCCAGGTTAATTAGTCCAATTACCTTAATCTTAGTCTCAGGGAAAGTCTCTGGATAGAAACAAAATGCAAACTTTCTGCAAAGGCGTAACACACATGGTCTGGAGCCCATCAACCAATGTCCTTCCCAGAAGAAGCCTTCCAAACTTGGTCTTTATCAGTAGGATTTTCATGAGCTTTCTGTCCTACTGAGCTCTGACTAGAATCTCCCACACAGAGCAGCCTAAAGCAGGCTAGCACTAATTTTTAAGGCAATGTCTCCAAACTTTTCCAAACTCTTCCCACAAGTCATTCCAGAAGGCTTTTGAACCACATAATCAGTTATAATCACAGCAATGACTCCACTTCTCTGGTACCAAAATACGTCTAGTTAAATTTCTCTTGCTGCTGGACGAAAATGCCTGATACCAAAAATAAAGGAAGGAAAGGTTTATTTAGTTCCTAGTTTGTAGGGGATTCAGGCTGTAATCAGCTGGGCAGGGTGGCATGGAATAGGAATAACAGTCGAGGTGGCAGAAGACAACAAAAGCAGCAAGAGCAAAAGTGGGGGGAGCAAGCCTCTTTTCCTATCTTATATGGTAAGCAGGCTACCCACCACACCATCTCCATGCCCTCCTGATGCACACACGCTCAGGATGCTTACAAAGTGAAGACCCTGGTCCCCTACTGAGTCACTTAAACTTCTAAGCCTCTCAATTTGGTATAATGCATCAACCATTACAAGCCATATGCAAGAATCTGAGGAACATTTTACTATTTTAAGAAGTCAGGTATAATAAGATAAGTACTAATGATTGCACACATTAGTGGACTTTAAAAGTTGCATCCAAAGAAATTTAGAGAACTGTGGTTACTAGTGACTGACGCAGTTAGGAATTAGTGTTTAAGGGTGCACATGTCTAGTTAAGCAGGAGAAATCATCTCTAAAAATCTATAGTACAGCGGTTAGTGGTATTATTATTATTATTACTATTATTGTCTTTTTGAGACCAGGTCTTGCTATGCAGTTCAAGCTGGCCTTGAGCTCACTTTGTAGCCCAGGCTGGCCTTGAATTTGCAATGATCATCCTGCCTTAGCCTCCTAGGTGCTGGAATTACAGACATGCACCAGACATACTATGTTCTTCAAAAATAGCTACTAAAAATTCATGTGTTAATATTTTGAGTTTAACCACTACACAAAATAAAATTAGCTACTGAAAAATTCATGTGTTAATATTTTGAATTTATTTTATATAATAAAATACTTCATATTGTAAGCATATATATGTAGCATTTTGTCTACTAACCTAAATCAATATATAAGTTAATTTGAAGAATAAAAATATTAAGCTTAAAAGAAATGATTTCCACTTTGTCGTAATGATTTCTAAAATTTCCAAAGATTACAAAAAAGAAATATATCACAACATGTAGTTCCTGGACTATTTTTTTTATAAAGACAAGTCTTTCCTCAGGGGACACTTTGAGACTGTGAAAGTAAAACAGGAATAATCAAGTATTTCCTTTGAAGAGATGAATCCATCTCCCTCTGCCAGTGCTTACATGAGCACAAAATTGATTGAATATTTTCTGTTTTCTATCTTTTCTGTACCCAAAGGAGATGACTTGTTTGGAGAGTGGAAGAAAATAGAACAATTTATTTTCTGAGACAGTAGAAAATTTAGCAAGATTCCTGGAACCTCCCATCCACAATTCTCTGATCTCATCTTACAAAAATTTCAAGTTGTCTTTGTGGGGGAAAAATGTGGTGACAAAGAAGTTTCAGTGACCACCTTCAAAGAGTGGAAGTATATCCCAGTGACAGAAAGAAGAATTAGAAAAAAAAGGAGAGAATATCAGCACTGGGTTTGACTTCTAGAATAATGAGAATTCCATTTTCTTTAATCTGTAAAGAACATCCCTGTGCATAGAAAGAATTTTAGTTTCCACAGAGACCACATCTCTTCCAGGTATTTCTGTATTTCATTCTTTCACAATTTGGAATCTATAGCCTCTCTTTAATCTTGACAATTGTGAATTAATCTCTACTATTTGCTAGGTTCCTGCCTTCCATTATCTGTTCATTAACTCCTCACTGAAAATCAACTTACACCACATTTATCTATTTCATTCCAAGTTTGATTGGATCATTCTGGTATATATATATTCCTAAATATTTTCACTGGAATTTTTAATTTATGAAAATCTCTTATTAGCACTCTATTGCTGAAGTTATAATTTCATCTTAAGGTCTGCAATATAACTGCAACTAATGTCTGCAATTTAATTATTTTTGATGGTCAACACTCAGTTCATTGTCAATACAGTTCCTGTAAAGGTTGAGGAAAACATCAAATGGATGAAGTTGGAAGAGACTTCTTTGGCTTTTGTTACTCTAAGCACCAACATCAGATATGATCTTCTCCCAATGGCTCCCTAGTATGTAGAGAATCTTTGGAATTGCAGAGAATTTTTTAAGCTCTAGTTTATTCTGAAGATTCCAAATCTTGTTTTTTATGCCCTTCTGGATATTGCCAATGCCTACATTAGTTGTGCTTCCTGGATCTCAACCTCTTTCTCTGGTAACTCCACATTCTGCTGCAATGTAATCGAATCAGTGTTACAAGAACTCCCTGTCACTTTCTTGGCACTGTTTACAGTCTCTGTGGTTCTCCAAGTCTCTGTCCTTTGTCAGCTCACATGCATTTCCACAGTCACCCACTCTCATACACAGATACTTGCTAGCAGTTTTGATTCCAACTATCAGAGAATTGAACTAGTTCTATGTGCTTCTGTCTTCCATCTTGTTCCCTCATTCTAAATCATGCTTTTAAAATAAAAATTGCAGCTTTATTTTTTATTTTTATTTTTTTCAGTTTTACTAAGAAGTGGAAGGAGATTGAGGAATAAGTAGGAAATATGGTGGGAGTTAATAACCAAAGTATGTCATATGCATGTACAAATACACCAAAATAAAACCCACTACTTGGTATAACTAAAATATACTATGAAAGTCTCAGATAATAAATCAAATTTCAGTGTACATTGGGAGATTCGTATTTTCAAAATGTTATAAAGGAGAGCTTTTATATAAGTTACTGAGACTGTTATTGAGCACAAATATACTTTAAAGCCTTATAAATAGAGTAATAGCAAAAATCACCTGTATAAAGAGAAAAGTCAAGCATATATAGAGAAGTATCACATTATTACAAAGTATCACAGAATAAATATTTGAATTAAAAATCCTGGCATGATTATTTTTATAAAAATATAGCATAAAGAAACATGAAGATTGCTAAAGAAAAGAAAAAAAAATCCTTTCAGTTTCTTTGGATGAGCCATAATAAGGGAAAAAACTAGCTCATGTCTGTAGCATTAAAAGAGAATTTAAATTAACAAGCCAGTGATAGGAGGTGGAGTTAAGATTGCAGATAGATAACAGCTGGCTACAGTGGCTCCATGAGATAGTCAACTTAGAACTCAACATAATACAACATGGGGAGCCCTGAACAGAGGGAGAGGAATTCTCTTGTCCCAAGGAGAAACTAAGGTGAGAAAAATGAATCGAACATACACTCCTGGCTGTCTGTGCTACCATGCAGCCCTGAGTGCCTCCGGGCCGCCAGTGACACAGGCCATCCCCACACCACCGCCTCCAGCCACCACCTCTGACTCAATCACCAGGGGCCCAACAGAGGCTGGGAGAGTGAAATGACTCAGCATCCACCGGCTGCCCCTGCCCCCGCCACCACCACTGCCTCCCTGGATCCAGGCCCTGTACAGGAGGGAATGAGGAAGTGGGCGGGTTGCAGTCCTGTGGGCTTGGGACCGCATTGCTGGGATGCATTGCCACCTTCGCACTTGCTGCTCACACGAGGACCCGAGCCCATGGTGTTGGCGCTGAGCAGGCACCTGCCACCCGAGCACCCCTAAGGTTCCAGGGGTGTATGTGTATTTGCCACTGCCAGGCCTGTGCGACTGGAGCCCCACAGAGCCACCACCACTGCTGCTGCTGCCGCCTCTGCTCCCTCGGCTGCCTTCCTGGATCTGGGCCGCATCACAGAGGGCATGAGGAGAAGGACGCATTGCAGCACCATGGGCATGGGAACGGGCCTGCTGAGACGCATCCCCACCTTCGCACTCACCACTTGTGCGAGGACCCAAGCCCACGGCACCAGTGCTGAGCAGGCCTCCACCACCTGAGCGCTCCAGAGGTCCCTGTGTGGTTGAGTGTGTCTTTGCCACCACCAGGCTCACATGACCAGAGCCCTATGAGCCGCTGCCATGAATGGAGCCCAGAGAAACTACTTCTGAAAATACCTCTTCAGACAATAATCAAAAATATAGAACCAGAACTTTCCAGTTTCCTGCTGTGATCAACCAGCTTTGGGGAATTGGGCCTGCCTGCCTGCTCCCTGAATTCTGGACTGGGCAGCCTGGAGTGAGTGTCCCCACACCATCCCAAGCCCCTGGGAGGGAGTTTAAGATATCTCAGGTAACAGCAATTTGGGGAGAGCAGCAATTTCCCAGTTAGCACGCTTTGGAAAGACCCTAAGCAATACAGAGAGGGCCAGAGACCCCCTAGACACATCTGTCTGAAAGAAACCAGAAACATGACAAGAGATAGAAATAAAAAAAAATTCCAGCCACTGACCCTGGAAAAATAAGCCCAGGAGAGATAAATACAGAAGAGAAACAGTGCAGTAATCATGCAATATTAGATACAGCTTCAGTGGACATAAATACCTTCATGATCTCATAGACAAATTTAAAACATTACTTCTGATCCAAGTGAGGCAAGATATAAAAAGATTAATTAAAGAAATGATAAGCCCCTCCCAAGAGAACACAGGTGGAAGAATGGAGGAACTCAGAAAAGGAAGAGAAACCTTTCATGAAGAATATAAACAAAATCTAGAATACATGAAACAGATCCAAAAAGACCACCAGGAAATTAAAAACTCCATTGAAAGTTGGCAAAATGACTTGACAGAAATTAAAGTTAGCCTTTTGAAACTTGAAGAGATTTATGGTGTGTGATCATGAAGAAAAGATCTCTTAAAAATAACAAGGAACCAGGAAGAAACAATTCAAAGGCTAGAAGATGACAAGAGGATTTATAACTTAAGAATAAAAAATGTGAGGGAAGAAGCAGGAGTAACTACAAATGAACTACAAAAAATATTCACAGATATAATTAAGGAAAACTTCCCAAGCATAGAAAAAAGAAATGATATCCAGATAAATGAGGCATACAGAACTCTAGCTACCTACAACCAAAACAGATCTACACCCAGACATATAATAATCAAAATTCCAGAAATACACCACAAGAACAGAACACTAAAAGCAGCCAGAGAAAAGAAGCAGATTACCTGTGATGGAAAAATTATCAAAATAATGATGGACTTATTGCCACAAACTCTCAAATTGAGAAGAGCCTGGGGGGAAATAGTCCAAGTCCTGAAAGAAATAACCTCCAACCAAGACTGACGTATCCAGTAAAAGTCTCTCTCTCAAAATTAATGGAGAAATAAGATATTTCCAAGACAAGGAGGAACTGTGGGAGTTCATGGTCACCAACCTAACCCTACAAAAAATACTGAAGGACATTCCAGGGAAAGAGAGGAAAAAAAATACCAGGATTCCAGCAACAGTGACAGAGAGGCCTCAGTGAACCAGGCAGACAGTGGAATGAAGGAGTAAACTGGACAAATAATGACTGAAGAATAAAATAGCAGAAATGAGAAAGAGACAGTAAGCTATAATCTTTAATATAGATAGCCCTGACACACTAACAAAAAAAGAAACACAAGCAGAGTAGACTAGGAGGCAGGATCCATTGAGATGTTCTGAATAGGAGATACACTCAGCCTGAAAGAGGGTTAATAAACTGAGTCAAAGATGAGAAAACAATGCTATATGTGACAGGAAACCAGAGAGAAATAGGGACAACTCGTCCAGCAGCCACAGATAGACTGCAAAGCTATGACACTTTTGAGCATTTTAGAACCTCACAGCTAGAAGGAAGGAAAGCCTTGTGACTTTATTAAGTAAAGGAGCACAGATCAAGATCAAGCTCAGGGGTAAAAAGGTTTAGCAACACTCAGGTAGATAACAGGTTGGCCCCCTAATCTAAAAACTAAAAGAGCTAGTGGGACCCAAAATAAACAAAGCACCCTGAGAGAGGGAAAAGGGAGTAATTGTCTAAAAAAGGAAGGCAGAGAACATTGTTAATAGTGCATTAGGATTTAAAAGTCACAGTAGTCTTGTTGCTCTTTTTAGATTGATTTTATTTTGTTCCAGTCTGTCTACCCATGTTACATTTGAGGGCACAGACAGCTAACCCAAAAATAGCAGGTTATATCATGGTAACTATCTTTAATTTCCTATTAACTTAGACTGAAACCCTGTGTTACTTACATTGTCTTACTATGACTGATCTTATTTGAAGCTGGTTCGTTAGATCACTGTTTAGCCTTGACTGATTTCATTCGAATATGATATCCTTGATGGTATTAAGTCTTGGAATGGAGACAACTATTCTGAAGATGACAAGATGAAAAAGATATCCATTCTGGTTTTGATTATTAACTGTTTTCAAGTCCTACAATATCTTCAAAGTTGTGTTTTTAATAAAATAGCTATGTAACGTTATGTTCAATTATATTATGCCTGATGATGTGGACAATTCTATTGAAAATAACAAGAGAAAGCATAATAATACTGTAGATCACCTAATATTGTGGTCCTATATGTCTTTTTCATTTCACGTTTTCCTAGGAATTTATTTTGTTGTTTTGTTTTCATCTGTTTTTCCCTATAATACTGAAAGGATAGATACACATGTAGAGAGTCACACATGGGAAGAATTTCTAAACTGTTTACAGGAACAGATTATATAATACACAATGTAATGAACGGATGTTCTGAAGAAGAGACACTAGAAACCCAGTGCTAATTCTGTAGCATTATGATATAAAATCTAGCAATACTATTATTCACTGTTCAGAGTGATATTAGTCTAGACTCATGTTCAATTTCAGCATACATAAAGATAAAGACAGGTACTACCAAGAGACTGAGAAACATTATGGTAGACATTATGGATTTTCCCCAAATCAGGTCTTGAAGACCTAAAAAGCCTTCATCATCCTGTAATGATCTGATTAGTTCTATAATTTCCAGTATATATTCAATGTGTGTGAAGATGGAGACTATTTGGAAGAAAACTAGAGACAATAAGATAGACAATGAAGATTTTCAGAGGACTTGCTTTGAAAACTATGTTTCTTTAAATTGTTTCCTTATAAACTGTTTTGTTCTGTTTTTCCATGTTTAATCTTACCCTCTTTAAGATAAAAAACAAATTTGTGAGACTGATAACCATATTACTAAGTTCTTGTTGGATCATTGAGCAGAACTGTTTGCAGGGTCATTGTTTGACTATCACTTTGTATGCTTTAATTTTGTAACTCAAGCAACTATTTCTAAGATGATGGTATGTAACTTATCGACTGGTGATTTCTTACTGTTTATTTTTCTGAAATTCTGTATTGTTTCTACCCTTTTTATCTGTTTTTTTTTCTTTAAATAAAAAAACAAAAAACCAAGCCCATGATAAAATAGATACTTCTGTTAACTCTAAGAGAATCTGAATGATTTAACACTTTAAAAGGGAGAAATGGTATGCATCTTAGTCAAATAAATTAGATTCATTAGCAGGAATCAATACAGGATGAAAGGCACTCATCAAAGCTTCATATATTGTAGTGTAATGACTCACTGACATTCCTAATACCTCTTCATTAAATGTTGTTTTGTCTTCATCTCCAGAAGATGCATCAGTTACATGGATGCAGAGAACTATACAGGTGCATCACAATTCCTTCTGCTGGGCCTCTCAGATGATCTTATATTGCAACCTCTTCTCTTTGCACTGTTTCTGTCTTTGGACCTGGTCACAGTGCTTGGGAACCTGTGCATCATCCTGGCCACCAGCTCTGACTCCCACCTCCACACCCACATGTATTTCTTCCTCTGTAACCTATCCTTTGTAGACATCTGCTTCACCACCACCACAGTCCTAAAGATGCTGGTGAGCATTCAGACACAGAATCGAGGCATCTCCTATGTAGAGTGCCTCACTCAGGCATATTTTTAAAATACTTTTGCTGGAATAGATAATTTTCTACTGACTGTGATGGCTTATGACCACTTTGTGGCCATCTGCCACTCCCTGAACTACACGGTTATCATATGAACCTAACTATGTGGACTACTGGTCCTGATCTCTTGGATTATCATCCTCTGGGTCTCTCTGATTCATATTCTACTCATGAAGCAACTGGCCTTTTCCATAGGAACTGAAATACCTCATCTCTTCTGTGAACTGGCTGAGGTTCTCAAGGAGGCCAGATCTGATTCCCTCATCAGTATCATCTTCTTATATGTGGCAACTGTCCTGTTAGGTGGACTTTCTGTCACTGGTATCCTCTTTTTTTACTCTCAAATCTTGTCTCCTTTATTAAGGATGTCTTCTTCTGTGAGCAGGTATAAAGCATTTTCCACCTTTGGGTCTCACTTCTGTGTGTTCTCCTTGTTCTATAGAAGAGGAATTGGGATTTGTCTCAGTCCTGCTATGACCCTTTCTCCCCAAAGTGGCACAGTGGCTTTTGTGATGTACACTATGGTGACCCCCACACTGAACCCCTTCATCTACAGTCTGAGGAACAAGGGTAAGAATGGGGCCTTGGGAAATCTCAGCAGAGCAGCCTCTGGTCCTTCATGGATCACTAACCTTAGAAAAAAGTGAATGTTATGACCTTTGAGGGAAGTGTGAGTTTCATTTTGTAACTGGGTTATGTTGTAGTTATGTTTAGTTTCTCCTGTCCCTTATGACTCTGCTGTTGTATTTATTCGTTCACCAATAAATCTGTGTAACCACTTTTAGCTTTTCTTACCTATTACGAAACATAAATTTTCAAATTTGGTAAACTGTGTTCAAATATTCCTGATATTTCTAAATGGTCATAAAGAACTTATAGTAAGTGCTGGTATGGTTTCCTCAAAAATTGTTGTATGGATGTTAATGTGCTTCACTTCAATTTGATAATATTTTTATTGTGCCTGGAAGATAGAGAATGAAAGTCAAAGGAGAAAAAATGTTTACATATCAAGACTATGCTTATTGCTTCTCATGTAAAACTTTATCATAAGTCATTTATGAGATTTTTTCTCACTCACATAATTACTGAAAAGAATAGACTAAAATTGGAGAGGATGATACCTGTAACCTGATACAGTATATGCTTGTATCTATGCTACCCTTATTCTTATAACTACAAATCTTGAATTACGAACAGAAAGACTGGAATCTGGCTTGGAGAGAGATGCATTTATGTTTCATAGTGTCTAGTGCAACTCTGAGATATTGCTTCATTGTGTTTCATTCATTTTTCTTTCTGCTTTTCTCCTTACCTCCCTTCCTCCATCTGTCCCTCCCTCCCTCTCAATCTCCCTTCATCACTCCAATTCTCCATCTCTTTCTAGTTTCCTTTCTGCTCCTCCTTCTTTTTGAATATTTTATGAGTTCATGATAAGTTATTTTTTTCTATCTATGGCTGAATGACATTTCATTTTAAGTACATACCACAATTTGTTTGTTTGCAAGTGAAAAAATTGTTTCATGATGCATTTCTCAAAATCTGTCCACACTGACATGCAATTTATGATTATATTATTAAAAATCACTTAGGCAGTGTATATTGGTGGAGCTGCATTTAGCACAACTTTATGTTTGAAAATGTGAGGAATCTCCAGACTGCTCTTAACTGTAGCTTACATTTTAAAAATTCTAATTCAAGAAGGTTCTGATTTCATCACATTCTAGCTAATGCTGGTTATTTTTAATTTATAAATAAAGAATAATATTTTTTGATGGTTAAGTAAAATATCATGTTTTTACTTTTTGTTTACCTATGACTAATTGATCAACCTTTCAGGTATTTATTGCCAGTATTTTTGTACCTTATATTTTGTATTTAATATATTTTTTGTTGAGAAACATTAATTCTTCTTACTTGAGAACCACATAGAGTATACTTCTGTTTCTAACTTATAAAATGTATTACTATGTTAGTTTATGGTCTGCATGCTTTATTCTGCTCAGTAAATGTATTTTGCAAATATTTCACCCTTTATAAAAGATAACTTTATATTGTTTAAAATGTACATTTTATTGTTTTTAATTGTATTTATCATAATGTACATGAAATGTCTTGAAGCATTTTTCTGTTCAGATGAATTCTTGTGTCCTGTAACCAGAATCTACCTAATTTTTCATTCCACAGTAATCACGTTACTCTGTCTCCAGGTATTACCATTTTTTATGTTCCTTTATAAAGTGTTCATGTGGTGTTTATCTTACTATGCCTGTAGTTTTTGAGTGACTTACTCTTACAAAGGTTTCTCTAAATGAGCAAATGCCTGTATCGTCTTCTTTTCTTATGCCTGAATAATTGTTTCATCATTTATAGATACCACATTTCATTCACTCTTTCCCTGATAATGATCACTTATGTTGAATCCATACTATGCTGATTGTGAATAGTGCTGCCATAGTAATAAATAGGAATGTAAATAACTATTGGCATGCGGTTTTCTTAGTCTGTAGATGGAAGCACAATTTATGGTAGCTTAATTTTCACTTCTTTGGGGTTAAACTCCATACTATTTTTGAAAATAATCACAGATTTCTCAGTACTGTCAGAAACACTGAAAATTCTCTTCATAGCTTCAGCAACATTTCTAGTCATTTATGTTCTTGACAATAGTTTCTTTCTTTCAAATTCTGTAGTGCTCACACTTTTATTACTGGTTTTGAGAAACGGTCTCAGTATTTAGTCCAGACTAGACTTGAACTCACTATATAGCTCATTATATAACTTGAAGCAGTCCTGCCTCAGCCTATCCAATCCGGGACAGTCCACTCTGTGTACTACTAGTTCTCATTCATGACAAGAATATTTCTGTGATAAGGATCCTGACCCCATGTATGATGAATAAAGTTTTGTAAGACTCCATATGTGTAGTCATAAGTTATGTTGTCTGGCAAGCAAACTTGGAATACAACATAGATTTGTAAGAATTGTCTGATTCTTCTGCTAGACAGAAAAATTTGTGGCCAAAATTTGAGTACATTTTTTCACTTTCCATAACCATACACACAGGAAAACAACTTTCAAGAAATTAAATGAATCATTTGAAGGATCATGGTTCTTGGTTGTATTTTAGCAAAATAAGGGATGAAAAGAAGAGAAATAACTGTTTTCTATAATCCACATGAACCCTAACCAAAACTCTGCAGCGTGAGACATACAGAAAGGAATATTCATTTTGGGAAAGGAGAAGGAAGTAAACGCAGATTTAGTAATTATCTTCCATTCTGTAAGTTACCTCTTCATTCTCATGCTTATTTTGTTGTGCAGAAGCTTTTTATTTTGATGTAATCATATTTATCATTTTTCTTTTATTTCCTGTGCTTTTGAGATTTTGTAAAAAGAAAAGAAAGAAAATCTGTGTCTATCCCAATATCCTGAAGTGTTTTTCTTATGTTTTCTTCTACTAGGTTCATAATTTCAGGTGTTGACATGTAAATAGTCCATTTTGTGCTGATATTTGTAACTGCTGAGAGATATCCTTCTTTCATTTTTCTGCATGGTGCTGTCCAATTTTCTCAGCACCATTAGTTGAAAAGACTCTTTTTACCCAATACATGTTCTTAGAACCTTGGTAAAAAAAATCCATTGCCTGTAGATGTGTCAGATTATGTCTAGCCTCTCTATTCTGTCCCATTGGTCAGTATGCCTATTTTTATTCCAGTATGATGCAGTTTTGATTTGTCTATCTTTGTAGTATATTTTTAAGTCATGTAGCATATTGTCTTGTGCATTGCTCTTTTTTACTCTGGATAGCTCTTGATATACAGAATTTATTATTGTCCCATATAAATTTTAGGAGATTTAAATATTTCTGTAAGTTTGTGAATTTTTCTGCTATTGTTTCTTTGGATAACTCATCATTTTGATATTTTTAAGATCCTCTAATAACCTTAATAGTGCAATTAGATCTGTCTTTTAATGTTTTCCCAAAGTTGCCATAAACTTTCTTTATTCCTCTTCATATTTTTTCTCTTCTGTTTTCAAATAGTCTATCTTTGAGCTCGCTATGTCTTTCTTCTGATTGTTATATCCTGTAATTGATATCGTCTATCACAAGTTAAGTTTTATTAAGTTTATTTGTTAGCTTAAAAATTTTCTTGATCTAAACAATTGATTTCATTTCTTTGTTGAGTTTCCTGTGCAGAATATTACATTTTCTCTGTGTTTTCTTCAAATTCCTTGAGTTATCTTAAAGTAGCTGTTTTAAATTCTTCCCACACTGATTACCATCTGGTCAGTTTCTAGTACTACCCTTAGTTTGACTGTTGGATAACTTATAGAAAAAGAAAGCTCCTGATTCTTGTTAGCATTTCATACCAGTTGAACATTTAAGGATAGGCATTTATTCCAGTCTTTCTAATAGAGCTCTTTTCCTTCCTTACTTTCTGTAACTTCTAAGCAGCCTTCTTATTTTCACCAAGCCTGTTGTTACTTCCACTCTTTCAGTAAAGATATTGCCTGAAGTCTGCTGGTGCTGTATTGCTACCATTTTAGCACTAGGGCAATGTAAACCCAGAATTGTATTTCTCAATGTGAAGTAGGAGAGTACATAGAAATACAATTGGAAATAGCAAGATAGAACTTTGGTTTGTGGGAATGGAACTAAGAGATGGAAGGAGGGGAGAGGAAGTGGAGGGAAATGAGATAAAAGGGGGAATTGTGAATGTTGTATACATACATAAAACCCCTATGAAGATGTGATCATGTACTACAAACATGGGTGTGTGTGTGTGTGTGTGTGTGTGTGTGTGTGTGTGTGTGTAAGAGAAGGGGCCCAAGGGATGCAGGAAAGAGTACGGAGGGGAGGGAAAGGGTAGAAAGAAAAGAATTAAGAAATGTATATGTTCACATACCAACTCTCCATCACTAACGTAATCATTATGTTCTACAAACATGGGCTACTACAACCACTACTACTAATAATAATGAAAAGGAAACAGTGATCTATCTTGACAGCTTTCAATGAGTCCAAAGTAGGCAGAGATGCCTATCCACAGCCACTGGCCTAAGGTCAGACATTGCAGAATTCTAATTACTTCAGATGGGCTAGCCCCAGGCTGCTATGCCACACCTTGGCAATCAGTGCCACAAAGCTGTTACACACTGAGCTCCAATTCCTTCAAACCCAACGCAGCACTTGGGAAGGACTAAGACACCCACAATTATGATCTACATATTGCTGTGGCCTAAGACCGTTGTAATACACTACAGCTAATGCTTGCCTGAATAGAATTTCAATAGGCTGTGACTGTTTTATCATGGCAGTGGGCTGTTTTATAGACTTCATCCTTAGGTAGGCCTGGGGATGAGGGTTGCTAGGATTTACCTAGTGTTTTAACTCATCAAGTCTGACATTTATAGGGGAAAGCCTGAGCTTACTGCACAGCAAATGGGATTTTGCTCCATGCTACGTTGCCTCAGATTTGAACAGTATTGGTGAAGACAGCTCCTTCGGCACCTAGTCTTATGCTTAGTTGAGCTTTCACAGGTGAAATGACCCACACATTCTCAAGAGTGTATCAAAGCCCATGTTGCAGTGGTGGGGAAGTGGTTTGTAAAATGAGTCCAACCCATCAGGGTACCCACTGCTTATTGGTTTTTTTGTTTTGTTTTTTGGTATCTGGGATTGAACTCATCACCTTGCACTTACCAGTGGTGGCAAGTGCTTGAGCCACTGAGCAAAATCTCCAGTTCACCCACAACCTGTTGCTAAGTGATGTCCTGGAGTCTGGTCTGCGATAGTTACACTGCTGGGCTTTGAGGTCTAGGTCATGTATACAGACCCTTAGCTACCAAATATGACACTGAGCTGGGCTACACCTGAATCTTACAGCTGCACGATTCTGTGGTTTGAGGGAGGAGGGATGTGTGTGCCCCAAGCTTACTCTAAGCCTGGCAATAATACAGGCTAAAATTAATCTGTCCCCACATTATGTAAGTATCTTTCTGATGCTGGTGAAGCTCCATGTGTGAACTCTGATCTGTACACAGGGACCTTGTTTTCTACCTGATTTGTTTTTTTTTTTTTTTTTTTTTTGTCTTTTTCTTTTTTCTGTCTTTTTCTTTTTTATCGGTACCGGGGATCGAACTCACGACTGTCTGCTTGCAAGGCAGACGCTTATGCCGCTGAGCTAAATCCCCAGCCCCAGATTTGTATATATAAACCCATGGTGGACCTAGCTAGCACTGAGTGCCAATAAATAGATCTGTGTTAACTTTTGTGTACTGCTCTTTTGTAGATGGAGGCTGCTTCTGCTTCTTGCTCCTTCTCCTCCTTTTTTTGCTACTGCCTGAGATGGAGAGGGATTTTAGAAACTGTGCTTTGTTTTTTGGTACTTGGGATCCAACTCATGACCTTGAGCTTGCCAGTAGAAGCTGTTTCTTTGCTTTCTGGCAATGCAGTTTCAGCAGCTTAGTCCAAGGCTTTGTTTGACAATAGGGGTAGTGGGCTCTACTAAGCAGATTTCACTGCAGAGAACCTAGTAGTAGATTTAAAAATAAAACAGTCAAGGTCTCATCTTCAAGAGGATTTAAGTTGTCAAGTGGCGTTTCTTTGCTTAGAAATGGAATAGAAGTGATATCTGCAATTCCTTCCTGCCTGCCTTGAATAGACTTTCCCGTTATAGTTTAAACAGACATTATAATCTCTCACCTGGTTACTTTAGCTCTTGTAAAGGTGATACCCTGCCCTAATTTTGTACTGCCTAATTAACTGAATTTCTACCCTGCTTTAATCTTATATTTGAGGATAGGATGTAGTCAGTCCAGAGGTGGTTCTTCACGTGGGATAGCCTGAACTCAATGGACCTAAGATGTCCTCCAGAATGACCACTGGACATCCTGTACTTTCACCATAACCTCAGCTGTGTGCTAAATGTCACACACACGTTAGTGCTATGACAGTTGACATTTGACAGTAGCTATAACCATAACAAGAGCAATAGAGGAAAAAAAACCCATTAATGGGAGCTGAAACAGGAGTCACTCAAGGGTGAAAATGGAAACAAAACTCTACCCACAATCGGAAAAGATACGAATATTACACCTCTTTTATTAATCTATCCTGCTTCCCCATTTCTTTCACCCTACGTCTATGAAGGGTAGAGAATTTGCAAATCTACGTGTATTCTATGGGGTCCAACTGATGCTTGATTTTTTTTACTGGTTCCACAACTCAAAGAGGGAAAAAGGATCCACATTTAGGTAAAAAATTGGTAACAAATTAATTTGGTGCACGGGTAAGCTGTTCGACTTGATTGTATCTGAGGGAGTCACAGATCTTACCTGTCATTTTCCTCTGCTCCTGCAAATGAACTGGTTGTTTTCTATATACTCAACCCCCGGGGAAACTAGTATTTACTATCTATTGATAAATTGTTTATGGCATCTCCAGGCCAGGAACCAGCATCCAAAGGCCTGCCCTTTTCTCAAGCCGCGCAGGGACCGGAAGCGGAAGTGTGGCTCTGCGCATGTGCAAAGCCGCAGCATGTCGCTTGGTCCCTCCTCTCGTCTGTGAGGTAACTTATTTTCTCAGTGGGCTTCCTGGAGTTATGCTCACTGAGAGACCCAGGATTGGGCCTAAGGGTCCGTTGTCAAAGGATTTATGGGCATTAGCCTTCGGGATACGCTCGGTCTTTCTGCCGCGCGTCTCCTGTGAGCCTTGTCTGCCCCGCTCCTGGCCACCTCCAACCGGGTCACTGCCTCGAGGACCCCTGGCGCGCGCACGCTCGCTGCTCGCGTGTGTACACGATTACCTTGCAGCCTGGAATACGAGAATTACCAACGTATATAATTAGTCTCCAGAGGCATCCTGTGCTCTGTTTGCAGAAAGAGAAAGCATGTCTGCTTTGGAGCCAGGGACGAGAATCTCCACGTCGCTGTGGCTATGCAGGTCCCTGGATTTCTGCACGCTGGGTGAGCTCGGTCCCCGCCTCGCCTCTCCCTGTGCATTGCGCAGAGTTTAATCTGTGAATGTTTCTCTGCCTGCTATCAATTTGGCACATTATATGCAGATACATAAAAACGAATTGATTTATTTTACGTTTTTCACCTCACCCTTTCCCAAATGCATTTTATCTTTAATAAAATAATACATTTTGATTACTTATAAGTTGTACGAATTTCACAGAAAGAATTAGCCAATCTCAACGTTTTCCTTTTTTATTCCTTCCATTTTCCTTTTTGTGGTCGTTTTTTATTTCTTTACTGCACTTGCCAGGACTTCCAGTTGAATGGAGACTAGCATATAATTCGCATTCTAGCTTTATTCTGTTTTCAGAGAAGACAAATATGGCATTTCACTATTAAATGTTGCTGTAGGTTTTTTCCCTAGTAAAACATTTTCTAATAAGATAAATTGTCATTCATGGATATTGAAATAGATGAGTCACTGTTTTATGTCTAAGGAGATGAGACATGATCTTCTTCAGGTAGTGTGAATCAACAATTGATTTCTATTAATTATTGTATTAATGACTGATCATACTACTAACTGTATTTTTAAGCATCCTTTATTCTTACATAGAAACTTGGTTTGTAATTTATTGTTCATTTCTCAACTGTACTAATATTTTATATTGCATTTTAAGTGCATAAAATCTTGCATTTTTTTTCTTGCCTTTTTAAAAAGTTTTTTTAAAAAGCACTCTTTCAGGTCTTGGAAATACCCAGGAAGACAGGTTTTTTTACTCATTGGAGTTACGAAATAATTAATATTTGATGAACCTGTCTCTAAAAATTTTTAACTTCTCATTTCATTCTGGGCACATTTTTCACTTAGGTTTTTTGTTTTGTTTCTTTTTAATGACTGGATGTAATTATTTTCTGCCTCTTAGGTCATCATTACAATATTTTAATGTCTTGAAATTCATTAACTCTGTGTGTGTGTGTGTGTGTGTATATATGTATTTTCATATATTATATTATCCCTGCAGTATCTGTATGATTCATTCTCATCCACAACTATTTATTTGTCTATACTCTCTTGCTTTTAAACCTGCTAAGTTTGTCAACTGAATTAGCTGTTAAAGGATACATATTTAGATTCTCTGTTTCCTTTATTTTTTAAAAAAATGTTACTAATTTTGTGTTTTTAAAAAATTTTTATGCAGTCCTTTTTCCAGCCTCATAAATCAGTCGTTAACTAGCTCATAAATACTGATTGTTTTTCCCTGTTGGAAGGAGATGATGCTTATAAAGATAAAAGTGTGTGTACTAAACTGGCAATGAATTTCTAGTTATTTTAGTTTTCTGCTTCCACCTGCCACAAACCAGTCTTAGTTCACTAACAATAAATGTGTTTAACTCCTTATTTTTGTACCTCATGGCATTCTAATGGAGCATGTATTAGCATCTGATATATTTTATTTATTTTCTTACCCTAAAAGATAAAATCTATATGCTTCAGGATCTGTCTTTTATTCAGTGGTTTATTCCTCATGATTTCACATTTAGGGTCAGGATAAAAGTTATATTAATGTAGTTGAAATGAAAGGTCGGGAAAGTAGGACCTTCAAGAAAACATCTCCACCCAGCTCTTATGTCCTAGAAGGAACTCAAAGAGACCACTTTTGAATGGAATGCTTTACTCAGTTGCTCTGCAAATCCCCCAGCGGATTGCTGTTGGCACAGGTCAAGTGTTCTGCTAGTGTGCTGTATGTAATGAACACAGAGGCAGAGACCAACTGAGAACACCAGGATTGTGTAAAAGCAACATTGAATGGGATTTACTGTGCCTGGTTATAGACAGATGGAGGATGAAAAGGTCATCTATAGGGAGCAAAGAGAAGAGGGCCCCATTTATAGGGATTGAAAGAAGGCAAAGAGCATTAGGCGGGATGATTTTAATAAACACCTGTGGTCAAAGTTCTCTGGCACTCTTGCACTTCAATGGACAGAGTCCTTTAAGCCTCCAGTTGTCCAGGGGTGTGAAAAATACCATGTTCTGTCTTGTCTTCTTTACAACATTCTGCATTGGCCATGACAGCTTTGGTGCTGAGCTGAGTTCCCTGCTAAGAATAGTGCCTCTGCTGGCAAATAGTTTGGCCGAATCAGGTCTCATTGGAGTCTTACATTGTAGAAGGAAATTAAGCATGTGAGTCACAGAAAGGCAAATTTCTCTGCATCATACATATGGAATTCAGTGGGTTGATGCTCAGAAACTACATTTGGGGAAATCTTGCTGTTTCCAGGGATGGATGCATTACTTGGGGGCTGAGAGTAATGCCTGTTACCCTGCCCATGAGTACAGAAGTAAACTCTGAAATTGAACCCTCGGAACTCTGGTATTTAAATCAGTGCTCTCATGTATTGGATACAGGGAGCATTGATTGCTGTGCTTGAATACACTGCTTGATAATTTTTATGCCTTTTGTTATCATAGGAAAATTGATAAGATATTTTAGACTTTAGTTAACTTGTTTACAAAATGTAACAGGAAGGACCACAGTATTATCTTCTAACTTTCGATAGGGTTTTTCTACCTTTGAATAAGATTAATAAGTGCGTGCTGGGGCATATTACTTTGTGTATGTGTATGTAGGGGAGTTATCAGTCCTAGTTGATAGTCTACAACATCCAGGCTCATAAGTGCATGAGTACAGGAATTTCACATTCCAGCATCTGCCTTACTTTTAACTTACCAGGATCCTGGTTTTCTTTATGAAGGTGACATGGGGGAAGAAAGAAGAGCTACTGAGTTACAGAAAAATACGATACAGGTGAGTGAAAGGTAATAATTCTACAGAGAATGCTTCTCCAGTAGGTATCTGTTAGCTATTTAGAGCACATCTTAGTAGTCTGCTTCTGTATTAGATCACGTAAGTATTTTAGGCTTTGGATGCCATAGATTTTCTGTTCCAAGGAAACTAGCATTTTAGTACAAAAGCAGTCATAGACATAATATGGCTTGTTTCTTTTTTTTTGATCCTCTTTCCCGTCCCACGCAACTCCCTCCCTCTGCCTCTAAATATCTTTTTCCTGTTTTCATTCTTGTTTTATTATTTAAACTTATGATTAGAACATAGAATATTTATATTCATTGTAGTTATTAGATTCTTGTACATGTATGATCTACTCTTTAAGATGAATTTACATTTCATATATTGCAAATATGTATTACTAAAAAAATAGCCATATAGAGTGTACAAAGGAATGTTATATTGTATTCAGTAAAATGTTGTTTATGCAGTGGGTGCCAGATTGCATTTAGCCTATGTGCCTCAGTTTACTGAGCCCTGCCCTGGTATGCAATGAAGCATGTCTAATTGTGGGCCTACCTTGAAAGATATGCTTGTGCAGGCTCATGGATCTCTCAGGTGGTGATGGAGAAAAAAAAAAAGAAAATCTCCCATTCCCTAAGTTTGTTTTTGTTCAGTAAGGACTTTTTGTGATTTAACCCTGTCATTCATAATGTGCTGTTTGCTATGGTGGGAATAAGTAGCAGGTGCAGTTATTTATGAAACAAGCAACTGATGATGTTAGTTTGAAACTTATTTCATTTTTAGAGTGTTTCTCTCATATACTGTGGACCACTGTGGACCGTTATAGGATTGGAATTAGACACCGTCTATGGTATTGTGCGGGATACAGTGTCTTACCTCAGTTCATGAACTTAATCCCAAGATTCTGGGAAAGATGGCTGTGTTTGTATTCATGCAGGGAAGATGACTGTGGTTCTGTTTGTCACCTAATGCAGAGTTCATACAGAAGCAAAACTGTGGCAAATGCTTCTGTTTGCAAACAGAATTGTTTATGAACAAAAACGTTCATGAACCAAGTTGTTAACTGTATTTGATATTGCAGTGTTCTGGATTAGAGTTCCTAAAACCCTGGGAATACCTGGAGTGGTAAGTCTCTTTAGCATACTATGAAGATGGCTAGTGCCTTCACACTCCAGTCACCATTCCTGGAGTCTCTTAGTCTGTTTAAATTGACAGTCTTAAGATTAACTGGCACTCAGGAGCTTCAAAACAGATGAATGTTTTAGGAGCATGGTATTCCAGCAGGATGTGGAAGTTCTGTGCCTCTTTCTATTTCTATCATGTCCTGTCCCTCTTTTCATTTGTCTGTGTGTAAAATTCATTGTAATTGGTAAAAATAAGGAATCATTCTTTTCTGTTCTTTGAGCCATTATGGCAGATTGATAGTTTTCAAGGAGTTAGGTATCAGCATCTCTGACTGATAGGCAATTTGTTGGAAATATGGGTTAAACCTAAGACTTGCCTTCTGAATTTGGGGATAGTGTTTTGGGACTGAGCCCCCAGCATTTGTGATAATGCTATCTCTAGATAGGTACTGTGAGGATTTTATTGAGTTATGGGACTCCCAGCTATACATGGGAAAAATCTGCCACACATCTGGTATGAGAAGTGTGTATTCAGTAATCCCATAAGAGTGGAAGAAGTTTGTATTTGTGATGTATTCAGTGACTGTAAGAGTGACTGTATGCAATCTTACCGCTGTCACACTGCAGAGAAGGAAATTGGGTATTTTAGAAGTGCTGAGTCTAGCAATAGATTTTGATCAGTTAGGAAATATGTGTAAGTAGAAAGGGAAAACAGCCTCTGACTGAGACCCACAGTAGATACTAGGAGATCATAGAATCAATCTTTTGAATTTCCTCTGACTTGATTCTTAGTCCTAATATCCTGTAATAAGCTAGAACACTTACACTTTTCTAAAGATAAAATTTGTGGATATTTTAGGACCCATTGACCTTTGACGATTTGGCTGTGGACTTTAGCCCAGAGGAGTGGGCTCTGTTGGATCTTGCTCAAAGAAAACTCTACAGAGATGTGATGCTGGAAACCTTCCGGAACCTGGCTTCCATAGGTAAAAATGGCAGCAACATTCATTCATGTAGTTTAGAAAACAGTTTCTATTTTTCCACTTCACCTTGTCTGGGATTTGAGCTGAAGAATGGAAGTGCATTGATAAGTAAAACAGACATGCTTATCAACTCCAAGGTGTTCCTGTCTGGAAGTTTTACCATGTAAATGTACACTAGTGTACTGGTTCTTCTGCTCATTTTTCTGTGATTGAAAGCCTTGAAGCGTGTTGAGTGTTAAAAGTGTAGGCATTGAGAGTTCACTTTGGAGAACAGAAAGATAGTTTGAAAACTTATGAAGATTTTAATGTTGTGAATGCTCTTTTCCAACAGACCATCAGAAACACACCTATAGATAAGCAAGTGGGATTTATTTATCAGTACAGCATGGAAGAGTATTCTCTATGGGGAGTTGTGGGACCTCTTAATAAGAGGGCATTAGAGAGTAATCTAGGATTTGCACTGATGTTTGAGTGATTTGGGAATTGGCCTGTAGAAGCCGACTCTATTAGTTTCTTAGGCCTTCTCAAAGTACCACACACTGGTGACTAACACACCTGAAATTTATTCTGTCATGTTTCTGAATGCTGAAAGTTCCATATAATGGTGTCAGCTGGGAGACTCTCTCTCTCTCTCTCTCTCTCTCTCTCTCTCTCTCTCTCTTTCCCTCACTTAAGGCCCTAGGGAAAATATCCCTTACTGTTTCTTCTCAGCTTCTGGTGAGAAGCTGAGTTCTTTAGAGGTCTGTCACTCAAGTGTCTGCCTCAATCATCTTCCCTGTGAGGTTGTTTTAAATCTCTGTTCTTACAGTGACACTAGTTATTGGATTTAGGGCCTACTTTAATTCAGAATAACATTTTAAATTGTTAATATCTTCCAGGTTTTTTTTTTTGTTTTTTGGCTTTTTCTTTTTTATCGGTACCGGGGATCGAACTCATGACTGCCTGCTTGCAAGGCAGGTGCTTATGCTGCTGAGCTAAATCCCCAGCCCCTATCTTCAAGGTTTTATATCCAGATAAGGTACATTCTGAGATTCTGGGGAATACATTTAATAGGCTTTGTTTTTGAGAGCAAGTTTATGTTCATATTTTAAGTTAAGCAAAACATAGATTTTATATGTTAACTTCCTCTTCCCCACCCCCTGCCAGCTCTTCCTGCACTATGAACATCCCCCACCAGGTGGTGTGTGTATTACAGTGGATGAACCCCTACTGACACATTATTACTGCTACAGCAGAATCTGTAGTTTCTATTAAGGTTCATTTGTGTTTTACACTCTATGGCTTTGGAAAAATGCACAGTGACACATAACCACTATTATGATGTCATATAGAGTAGTTACACTGCCCTGAAAAGTCCTACGCACACTACCTATTTATCCCTTTCTCTCCCTTAACTGTCAGTCACTGATGTTTGTACTATCTGTCATTTTGCCTTTTGCAGAATGTCATATAGTTGGATTCAGGTCATACATAACTATTTCAGATTGGCTTTTTTCACTTACCTGTATACATTTGAGTTTCTTCTGTCTTTTCATGTCTTGCTAGCTCATTTTCTTTTAGTGCTAAATGGTACTCTGTTATCTGAATGTGCTAAAGTTTATCCACTTACCTACTGGGAGAGATCTTATTTACTTCCATGTTTTGGCACTGAAGTAATGAAGTTATTTTAAGTGTTTATGTGTAGGTTTTGATGTAGACATAAGTTTTCTCCTTTGGGTAAATACTAAGCACAATTGTTGGAACCTATGGTAAGACTATGCTTAATTTTGTAAGAAACTATCATAGTGTGTCCCACATGGCTGTGTCATTTTATATTCCTGCCAGCAGTATGTGAGAGCTTCTGTTACTCCACATTTTTGTCAGCATTTGACTTTGCCATTGTGTGGTAGGTGAGTGTAGAGTATCACAGTTTTAATCTGCAATTCTCTGATGATCTATTTGGGGAGCATCTTTTCTGTTTTGCCTGATGAGGCTACTTGTCCACAGATAACTCAGTTTATTTATTTATTGCAGCCATGGGCATTTTGATACTAAGTAACATTGCCTGCCCTTTTTTATTTTTCAAATTTTGAAATGGGGTCTACCAGTTTGCCCAGGTGGGACTTGAACTTGTGATCTTCCAGGTAGGACTTGAACTTGAGAACTTGTTAGCCTGTCTGAGTACTAGGATAATAGGTGTGTGTTGTTATGCTGAACTAACTATTTTGACCTTTTGTATGTCCTCCCGCTCTTACCTTACTCTCACTGTTATTATTCTTTGCAAAGACTTTATTTGCTTTTTTTAAAGTTAGTATTTGGTATGTACATTTTATTCTATCCCTTTTTGTTTTGTTCTAGTACTGTTCCATATATGTTTCTGTCACATTTCATAGAACAATTTTGTAGTGAATTACAAACCATGTTATCACTGTACTTGTTAATAACAAAGTCCTGAAACAGCCATATTGCCAAAAGTCCTTTCTTCACTGGTGGTTTTGCTTTTCTGTTTCAGGTTTTGAGTTTCTACTTAAAAGTAATGATTCAGTTGTTCTGCCTGATAATAATTTTGAAAAAGTATCTAATAAACAAAAAGTCATAAGATTCAACAGAAATGGTTCCTGGTCTTCCATTTTACATGAAAACTGGGAACACTATGGTACTAATGAGAGGAACAAAAGCTATGAGAAACATCTGAGGTAAGTACCCTTCAGAGATGGGAAAATACCTCCAACAAAGAGAATTTGAAGTGTCTTGAGATTTTACGAAATGTATTTATGAAAGCCCTTGTTAAAACTTGTGATTTCACAAAGGATTTTTTCTGTAAACGTCTTTCCTACAAATGAGACTGAGATAGTAACTTTTTTACACATATTTCAGTTGTAAACAACCATTAAAAAATTTGCTGTAAGTCAAAAATTTGGTGAGACTATTGGCTGTGGTAGTCATCTGTGAATTCACTCAGCTGGTAAATTGACAAAGAAGAAAATATACACACTCACTGAAAATGGTAAAAAATTATTACTAATATGTGCCTTTTATTTTTAAAAGTGACATCATGGAGAACATCTATGAATGTAAAGACGAAAATCAAAGTGAGCAAATTCCAAATCTTCCTGTGCTCAACAGAACCATTGAAGTAAAATCTTATGAATGTCATGAGTGTAGAAAGGCTTTCCCGTGTCATTCATCCCTTAAGAGTCACATCAGATCTCATACTGGAAGCAAACCATACCAGTGTCAGGAATGTGGGAAAGCTTTCCATTTTCTTGCTTATTTTAAGAAGCACATGAAGACTCCCACTGATGAAAAGCCTTATGAATGTAAGGAGTGTACCAAGGTCTTCAGTTGTTCCTCATTCTTTAGGGCACATATGAAGATTCACAGTGGAAAAGTAAACTACGAATGTAATGAATGTGGTAAAAGTTTCAGTACTTCTTCATACCTCACAGAACATAAAAGAATTCACAGTGGAGATAAGCCTTGTGAATGTGATGAATGTGGGAAGGCCTTTAGTTGTCCTTCATCACTCTCCCAGCACAAAAGAATTCACAGTGGGGATAAGCCATATGAATGCAAGGAATGTGGGAAGGCCTTTAGTTCTTCCTCTCACCTTATAACACATATCAGAATTCACACAGGAGAGAAGCCTTATGAATGTAAAGAGTGTGGAAAGGCTTTTAGCGAATCATCAAAACTTAGTCGACATATGAGAGCACATACTGGAGAGAAACCTTACAAATGTAAGGAATGTGGGAAAACCTACAATTGCCCCTCCTCCTTGAGTATCCATATGAGAAAACACACTGGAGAAAAGCCCTATGAATGTCTGGGATGTGGGAAAGCCTTCTATCTTCCTACTTCCCTATATACACATGTGAAAAATCAGAGCAGAGAGAAACCGTATGAGTGTAAGGAATGTGGGAAAGCCTTCAGTTGTCCCTCGTCATTTAAAGCACATGTGAGAGATCATGCCCGAGAAATACAATACGAGTGTAAGGAGTGTGGGAAGGTCTTCAGTCGTTCCTCATCCCTCACCGAACACTTAAGAACTCACAGTGGAGAGAAGCCTTATCAGTGTAAGGAATGTGGGAAAGCATTTATTAGCTCTTCCCAGCTTACAGTTCACAGGAGAACTCACACTGGAGAGAAACCTTATGAGTGTAAGAAGTGTGAGAAATCATTTATGTATTTCTCAGCCTTCAGCTTCCACATGAGAATGCACACTGGGGAAAAACCGTATGAATGCAAGGAATGTGGAAAGGCATTTCGTCATTCTTCATACCTAACCATCCATGCAAGAATGCACACTGGAGAAAAACCCTTTGAATGTGTGGAATGTGGAAAAGCCTTCAGTTGTCCTTCTTCTTTTCAAAGACACATGAGAAGTCACATGGGAGAGAAACCATATGAATGTAAGGAATGTGGGAAAGCTTTTATGTGTGCAGCCTATCTTCGAAGACATGTGAAAATCCACACCAGAGGAAAACCATGAAGATCAGGAATATAGGAATGCTGCAAGACTCATTGTAGGCAGCTTGTTAAATCATATATATGAAGAGACCATATTCTTGTGAGAAAGTAGGATATTGCATATCCTTTTGAAGACTAGAGCATACCTGAGAGAAACCTTTTATATGAAAACCATGTAGTAAACACTCCCTTCTCTTATTGTTTACCAGAAAATTCATAGTAGAAAGGATCTGAATCTTATCTTTGACAATAAACTGAATACTCACTGCGTTCCAGTATTTTCTAATAGGAAGGTGATACATTTACTTTACTAGCTCTAGCCACATGCTTTGTTTGAGATACTTTTTTTTTTTGAGACAGGGTCTTACTTTGTAACTTAGGCTGGCCCTGATCCTTCTGCCTCAGCCTCCCAAATTCTGGGATTATAGGCCTGCACAACCACAATCTGCCCATGAGGTACAGTTTTTAAGTTTCTTATTGGTATATAAAATAACACAATACATAAGAAACAGTCATTGTGAGGAATTACTACATGTATATACCTCATCTTTATCCTTTTTACTTCTTCTTTCCCTCCTCCTCCAGTCTCCCTCACCTCTAGACCCCCTTCCTATCTCCATAAAATCTACTTCTGTTTCCTATCATCTTTATTTTGTGCTTTAAATTATTTATACTTAGATTTTTATGTAAGAATCCATATGATATTTAATCTTTTTAATAAAATTTATTTCACTTAGCATTATCGTCGTAAGGTATATTCATTTTCCAGTAAATGACTCAAATTTATCCTTTATGGTTGAAAAGTTATATATTCCAGGTGTACATTTAATTTCCATAAAAGCCTTTTGGATACATGTGGAGTTAGAAGTTTATGTTTCCAAATGTACATAGGAGAGTGGTCTTTTATTCTTTTCCTTCTTTCATTTTGGTGTTTTTGCTCTGTAGGTATGTGGTCTTTAAGGTGTGGAGACTCCTTTGTTTTGGGAGCAGGTCTATTATATCAGATGGCAAAGATTGCCTAGTTGGTATTGTTCCTTTCCCCTTTTTACTATAAGAATTTATATGTTCTGGGAATTAGAAGTTTTTACAGTCAAAACATTGGATCCAAATTCCAACCATGTGCAAGGACAGAGAACAAAATATGAATATACCATGTGAGACCATGCTCTTTCCTGGTGTTTGTATTCATTAATTTCTACTGAAATTATCATAAAAGTTTTTTTTTTAAAAAGTATTTTAAAGAAGAAAAGAAAACAGACAACAACAATAACAAAAAACCAATAGTAATACAGGATTTCAAAACAACATGATAGGAATTTAACAATGGTTGTTATATTGCATATTGTTGTTTTCAAAATAGTTTTATAGATTAGCACATAAAGGCATGCAACAGTGATCAGACATTATGAGTGTTCATTTCATTTCCATGAACTGAGTTAGTGGTATAATTATCTTTGCTATCTTGTGTTTAAGTTTTTTGCTTTTCATTTCCTTTTCTTCTTTTTCACAACTCAGTTCTTTCCCTTTGAGCAATTTTTTTCCCTTTCACTATGTCTATTTTAACTTCTGCATTGTATTTACTTTTTCAGTTTCTTACACTAGGGAGACAATATGATATTTGCACATGTGGATTTTATTTATTTCACTTAATATGGTTTTGAGTTGCAGTGTTTAACTATGCAAGCTTCCAGTTTATCCTTTATAACTGAGTATAAAAAGACCACACCTTTTATGCACTGCTCAATGATGGGCATCTTGTTTAAAGATTTAGGCAGTACAAATTATGCTGCTCTAAACATGGGTGCACATATCTCATTATGTTATGGTGCTTTTACTTCTGGGAAGATACCCAGAAGGGGAATAGCTGGGATAAATGGGACCTCTCATCCTAGTTTTTGGATTAGTCCTAGTTTGTGGCAGAATCTCCACAATGATTTCCATGGTGGTTGTACCAGTCTACACTCGCACCAACAGTGAAGAAGGGTTCCTTTTCCCCCACTCCTGCCAGTATGTTATTGATTGATTTCTTGATGATAGCTGTTATTTCTAGAGTGAGATGATATCTCGGTGTTGTTTGAATGTGTATTTCTTGAATGACCAATAATAATGAACACCATTTTAAATATTTGTTTGCCATTTGTATTCTTCATCTGAGAATTGTGTGTTCATGTCAGATGTCCATTTTTATATTGAGTCTTTGAATTTGGGTGGCCTGAGTTTTTCAGTTCTTTATACATTCTAGATATCCTTTGAGGGATAGTTGGCAAAAATCTTTTCCCAATTGTAGGGTTTTTTTTACTCTTGGTGATTTCATTGTGATGCCTCCTGCCTTGCCTTTGTTGCCCAGAATTGCCTTTGCTATTCTAGGTCTCTTCTGGTTCCACATGAATTTTAGGAATGTTTTCTCCAAATGTATGAGGTACATTACTGGTGTTTTGATTGGGACTGCATTAAATCTGTATAATAGTTGTGAGTGTATGACCATTTTTACAATGTTGGTTCTTCCTACCCATGAGCAAGGAATATCGTTCTATTTTTGGAATTTCTCTTTGATGTCTTTTTCAGAGTACTATAATTTTCAATGTATAAATCTTTTTTTACTTCCTTTGTTAGATTGATTCCTAAGTATTTCATTTTTTTGATATTATTGTGAAGGGTGTTATTTCTCTCTCTGTGAGTTAGTTGTTTGTGTACAGGAATGCTATTAACTTTTGAGTGTTGATGTACCCAGCCATACTTCTGTATTTGCTTGTTAAATCTAAAAGTCTGTCTGTGGAGTTTTTGGGATCTTTTGTATAGAATATCATGCCATATGCAAATAATGATAGTTTTTCTTCTTTTCTTTCCTATTCTTATACTTTTTATTTCTCTTTTGTCTAACTTCTCTGACTTATTTCCAAAACTATATTGAATAGGAGTAGTGATACTGGACTGATTTTAGATTGAAAGCTTTCAGGTTTTTTTTTTTTTTTTTCATTTAGTATGCTGTTTGCTACTGGCTTGTAATAAATGGCTTTTATCAGATTGAGGTAGTCCTGCACGTTTTTTTAAACCATGTAGTGTTTGAGTTTACCAGAAGCTTTTTCTGCATGTATTGAGATGTTCATGTAATTTTAAAAAAATAAACAATGAGAAAGCAATAGTTGATAAACTACATGTTGTCCTCTTAGGAATAGTTGTTCAAGTTACAAAAGTAAAGCATACAAAGTGGACATTCAAACAGCAAGACTGCAAACAGTTCTGTTCAATGATCCAACAAAAACTTAGTAATATGGTTATCAATTCTACACATACATGTTTTTATATCATTTAGAGAACTTTATTTTCCTCTTTTTTATAATAGCAATTACACATTTTGGGTTTTATTACTCTTATATTTCTTATTTTCTCATTAGAGACACAGTGTGATATTTGTAAATATGATTCTTATTTATTTCACTAATGAAGATAGTCTCAAATTGTCTCTGTTTGCCTATGAAGGCCTCAAGATCATCCTTTTTATAGCTGAGTAATATTCCATTATATAAAAATACCACATTTTTTTCATCCACTCTGTGGTTGATGGGCATCTTGGTTGTTTCCAAGATTTAGCTATTACACATTGTGCTGCTATGAACATGGGTGCACATATATCACTGTGATATGACCCTTTCAGTTTTTCTGGGAAAATACTCAGGAGAGGAATAGCTGGATTGAATGGAATTTCCAATCCTAGTCTTCTGAGAAATCTCCACGTTGATTTCCATAGTGGTTGTACCAGCCTGCACTCCCACCGATAGTGGAGCAGTGTTCTCTAGCTCTCTTTTTTTGGTTGGATCTTTCTGCTGGTATTAGAGCAATATTTGCCTCCAGGAATGTGTTAGGGAGAATTATTTTCTTTTCTATTTCATTAAAGAGTTTGAGGAATGTTGATGTTAAATCTTCTTTAAATTTCTTGTACAATTCATCTGTAAATTCATCAGGACCTAGGCTTTTCTTTGTTGCTAAATTCTTAATTAGGTTTTCAATTTCATTAACTGATATTGTAGTATTCAGGATTTTTATATCTTCTTGATGCAGGTTTATTAGTTCATGTTTCTAGAAATCTGTCCATTTTTTTGTGATTTCCGTTCTATGAAAGTATAAATTTTCAAAGTAAGTATTGACTATCTTCTGAATTTGTATATCTGTAGTGATTTTACCCTTTTCATCTATTATTGCATACATTTGAGTTTTTTCTTCCCTTTTTTGGATAAGGTTGAAGATAAGGTTGACAAGGACCAAATCAGCTTTATCTGTTCAAAGAACCAACTTTTAAATTTATTTATTCTTTGTATTGTTTTCTTAGTCTCAGTTACATTAATTTGTGCTCTGATCTTTATAATTTCCTCCTTTCTTTGGGCTTTGGGCTTGACTTACTCTTTTTCTTGAAGCTTGAGATACAGAATTAGGTTATTTGTGTCTGTTATATTTTCCTGATGTAAGAATTTACTGCTATAAGTTTCCCTCTGAAGACTGCTTTTATTGCGTCCCAGAGGTTCTGGTAAGTTGTATTTGCATTTTTGTTCCATTGTAGATATTGTATAATTTACTCTTTAATTTACTGTATCACTCACTGGTTGTTTAGGGCAGTGTTATTTAATTTCCATGTGTTGATGGAGGTTTTGTGGTTCTTTTGTCATTAATTTCCAACTTTATTGCACTATGTTTAGATAATATGCATGGGATAATTTCAGTTCCTTTGCATTTACTTACACATGTTCCATGGGCTAGTATGTGGTTTATTTTAGAGAACATACTATGTCCATCTGAGATGTGTATTCTGCTGATGTTGGGTGTTACACTGTGTACAAGTCTATTAAGTCCATTTGTTCACAAGTTTTGTTCAGTTCTGTTATTTGCTGTTTCATCTAGTTGATCTGTCTCTTCATGACAGTGAAGTGCTGAAGCCTCCTATTACAATTGGGTTGTGCTTATTTGATTTTAATATCTATTATTTGCTTAAATAGTTGGGTACTCCTGTATTTGATACATACATAATTGATTGTTATCTGTTGCTCTTGAAGTTTTCCCTGAAAAGTATGTAGTGACCTTATTTATTCCTTTTGATAATTCTTAATTTGAAGTTCACATTGTCTAAAAAGAGACTAGCTACTACTTTTTTCTGGGATCCTGTCACATGGAGTGTTATTTTCCATCCTTTGACTTTTAGTCTGTCAATTTCCTTTTGAGTTAAATGTGTTTCTTCTGTACAACATGTTGTTGAATTTTGTGTCTTAATCCATTCTGCCAGTCTGTTTTGATTGGTGAATTGAGACCATTTACTTGATAGTTGTCAGTGATATGTATTAACTTTCTCATGTTATCCCCCTGTTGTTGATACCCTACTTTTTGTTCTTGTTTATGTGCTTCCCCAGCTTGATGGTTTTTTTTTTTTTTGTCATTCTTGTAATTATGGTCATTTTTTTTTTTTTTTTTTTTTACTTTCTAGAGTGTCTTTTAGTATTCTTTGTAGGGTTGGTTTGGTGGTCATTAATTTCTTCAGTTATTCATTGTCATGGTAGTATCATTGCTCCATCAATCTTGGAATAGTTTTGCAAGTACATCAATATGCATTTTCTTTCAGGACTTAAAATACTTCACTCCAAACTCTTTGTAACTTGAGAGTTTGTGTTGAGAAACTGGCTGTGATTCTGATGGGCTTTCCTTTGTAGGTGCTCTGTTTTCTCTGAGAGATTGTAATATTCTCTTCTTGTGCTG